AACAAAACAAAACAAAAACAAAACACCCAAAGAAGGGTTTTTGTTTGTTTGTTTGTTTTTGAGGGGGAAGTCCCAGAAATGTAGCTTGTTTAATATTTTAGGCCTCTTATTTTTGTAAGATGTGTAGAATTTGCTGTTTTTCGTTTTATTTTGACAACTCAGGAAGAAACTGACCTCAGAAAGAATGTTAGACTTTGGCTGCTCTCCTGTGTGTTCCCTGCCCCCCCACCCCTCCCGAGGAACAGATTCTCCCAGAAGACTCCGAAAGTGAAACTTGTGGGTAACAGGAGAGGAAGGCCCAGAGCCCCACGGACACCCCTGCTCTTCCTGGGACAGAAGCGGAATGTATTTCTAGGGCTTCCTCCCCAGGTCCAAGGTTGTAGGCAGGGGTGTGGGGGAGTGGGTTGTGGGATTTGAGAGGAGGTAGGTCCTGTTGCTCTCCCCCTAAGCCCCACTCTCCAGCTTAGTGTTTTTTTTCTTTAGGGTTATCCAGAGGGAGGCCCTTGCCCCCTCCCTGTCCCAGATCCAGAAAGAGAGGACCCAAATGGGAAGGCGTCCGAGGCAGAAAGTCCCCAGAGTGGTCATCTCACCTGGCCCTTCCCTAGGCAGAGATCTTCTATAACTTAGGATTCCCTCGGGAGAGAAGACCGTGTGGCCACGAGTCTGGCTGGGCACAAAACTGACTACAGACTCAGCTTCCCTGTATGTTGGGAGGCTCCAAGGAGGAAGTAGCACCAATTACAGAAGGTTCTGTTGGGAAGCGGGCCTGTCCCGTTCTCCTAGGGTCCTCGGTTGGGAGCCCCAGGGGCTTCCAGAGGGTGAAGGGGATGGGCAAGCTGGGTTTCCCTGATGCTAGGGTGGGAGTCCCACCCAAACTTTCCACCAGAAGCCAGCCTCGGGGAGGGTGCGGGTGCGGGGGCTTCCTTGTGAGAAGAATATGCCTGTCCTTCCCAGCAACTTTCCCTTGATAGGGCTTCTCTCCCTCAGGGAGCCCATTTCACCACTCTGACCTTTGGTCCAAAGCAGGAGGCAAGCCCTCACCCTACCTCTTCTCTCTCCCACCCCAGCCTCCCTCCCTGTTCCCTGCTCACCCTTCCAGCTCCTCCAGTCTCTGTACCATCTCCCACTCTGCTGGAAGGGTGTCCACAGGGGACATTTCAGGTGCCAAGGTGCCGAGGGCCTGTGCTGGCCTAGGGCTGCTAACAGGAAAGCTGCTCTGTTTCTCCCCCACCCCCCGCTTTTCATCCTTGGTCTTTCTGGCCCTCCTCTCCTTGGAGCTGGCTGACTGCAGGGCTTTGGTGCCTCAGCAGCAGTGGGTTGCACTGCTGTAAAGGGCCCTTTGGAGGGTGCAGGGCGTGAGAAGTTTCTCTCAGGTGTGTGTATGTATATGGGGGTGGGGGTGGAGGGCCCCGGGGAGTGGGGTTGGGATCTCAGCCTTCCCTTCAAGAGGCAGGCAGCTGGGGGTGGGGGGAGGAACTCACTGAGACCCAGGGCCCCCACTGCCTCCTCCACTGGCCTTGGGGAGCTTTGCACAAGGAGACAGCCCCCAGTCTACTAGCACCTACCTCATGGGCACTGGGGCAGGTGGGGGGAAGGGCAGGTCCAGCTCTGGCAATGTTGGGGGGGGCATACCAAAGAATCCAGGGGCATGGATGTGGGGAGGACAGACTCGGCAAGCTGGTCCTCCTCTTCCTCTACCCAGACTGGGGTTGGGTTCCTCTCCTCCAGCTGTAACCATTTCTACCTCATTTTGCTGCGTGTTGTACATGGACGTATTTATCTCCTGTCTGATGATGCTCTGCAGTTGTGGTCTGTCTACCTCAGAAGAGACTGTATTTTAAAAGAAAGTATTACACAGTATTAAAGCGATGACATGTGGCTTCCAGAGAATTTTTTGGGGGCAGCAGGATGTGGGGAGCCCTTGGGGAATGCTTGGGCATCCAGGGCTGCCGGGCATGTGGTCCTGTGGGCGTTTCTAGTCCTTCAGCAAACCATTACTGTGGGTCTCCCGTTCCTCATTTTGGCACAGCAAGTGCCTACCAAGTATTGGGCGCTAAGGCCACCAGGTGAAAAGCCCCTGGATAGGGAAGGCCCTCCTGTAGTTATGGGCTCCCAGAGGCTCAGAATTGGGGCTGACTCCTATCTGCAGAGCCCCAAGGTATGAGGAGAAAGAAGGGCTCACACGTTTGGTGAACGAGTGAATGGATGAATAAATGAATGCTTGGAGAAAAGGGGGCAGCTTGAAGAAGAAGGTGCACCCAGAATGTGGACAGCGGCCCTCATTGGCTTGAGCTAAGATCAGACTTTGTTCTTGGAGGGAGGGAAAGGGTGCAGAGGGCAGGCTATGGACCCAGTCTTCAGGGTCACGTGGGACCCTTTGTCCACCACCATCTGTCAATTCCCAA